TAAACCCTAATCCTGAAACCTTAAACCCGTCATGTTGTTATTTAGGGCTTTTAGAGTTTGGGGATTAAGGTTCGGATTTGAGTTCTTGTGGCTTAGTTGGTCATATACCTTTGTGCTTCCTTTGTATTTGTTGGGCTTTGTTTACGACCTTTGTGTTGCTTGTTTTGTTTGCATCCTTTGGGACAGATAACATCGTAGCTTCAGCAAAAGCAGCAGTGTCTTAAGAACGTTACTTGGGCCGGTGTGGATGCGGCGATGTACATGACAACTACTTGCAGCTTATTTCGTTGCATGCCCAAGACAAGACTCTTTTTTCCGCTTCCGTTTTGTGAGGAGAAGTTTGGTTTGGACGTCGAGTTTGTTGATGAGCAAGTGGCGACGCCCGCAACGAGCAGCAAGGTATGGGAGGAGAAGGTCAAGGAACTGGCAGGAAGAGGGATCACCATACGGCAGCTTCTGGATTTCTATTCCCGATTGGGACAGGACATCATGTACCATTTTGATCCTGACGAATCCACTACGCACGACGTTGTGCGCCAGGCCATCATCCCGATGTCCACCCAAACAGCTCAAGCACCTTTGGGCCATAGAGGTCGAAGTTTTGAGATTGTACTGCGGCTGCGAGCGTGCAGTCTCGCCGCATTGGACATTTGGCCAGATCTATCCTACGAGATCTTTGGGCTTAAGTTTGGCAAGCGTTTTTTGCTTTGCGTTTCAATGGAGCATCCGAGAGCAACCTTTTCTTTTCTGAAATTCAACCTCGCCCCCTTGCCCGAAACATCATCCTAAGCTCAAACTTCTCGTGGGAAATATATCATAGGTTTAGGGCTTAGGGCGCAGGTTGTAACATTGAATGGCTTAGCTGGGGCACGATTTACAGCACGAGTCATTGGACTCAAGCGAAAACGAAAAGCACACCAAACAATAAACCCTAAACCCTAAACCAGACAGAATACCTCGCTTGTGGGCATAGATCCTTAGCCATGCGAGAGGGAAAACAACCAGACAGAATGAATTTGTAATTTGTTGCTTGCATGTTCGGCATTTTGCTGACCTTGATTGTGTGGAGTAGCGCAACTGTCTTGAGTCAATGAGCTTGAGATCGTACAGCCTTTCATCCTTCATGTCGCATAAGGTTCTCAACCCCGAAAACCTTTCAGCTTCCTTATTGCTGGTTACAGGTGAGGACGCGTGATATGATTGCAGGTGGGGGTAGAGATCTTGCCGCACACATCCTGAATATCTTAACTTTGCTACTCTAGTTGTGTTGTGGCTGATCTTTATCCCTATAGAGCACAGTGACTCTGGTACTCAAAGCTTCCTCATTCGTGGATATTGATCCTTAGCCATGCGAGAGGGAAAAACCAGACAGAAACAAACCCTAAACGTTGATTTAGAGAGGGGCTTCAAACAACATGCGTGCTTGAGTAGATTCGTTTTGACAAGGCAAGGTGGATGCAGTGCATGGATTTGCCCAAGGGCGGTCCTGCTTTTCGCGTAGCGAAAGCCTGAGGAACGTAATTTGTGTCAGTGACGCGAGAAGCGTCCGAATAGCAAGCCAGTCGTTGACCCTGCATTGTAGGTTCGTCCTAGCCAGGCGGGGGGCAACAAAAAAAAAACCTAAACCCCAAACCTGACGGTTTAGGAGTTTAGGGCTTAGGGTTTCCTAAGCCCTAAACACTTAAAACCCTAAACCCTAAACCTCCGTCCAAGGATTCGCGTGGACCGAATGGCCCAGGCTTGGAGACGCGAATGCCAGGCAGCCCACGGCATCATCAGCCTGGATCGAGGCCCCTTGAATTGAAGGGTTTTTTGGGATTCAATGGGGGTTTAGGGTTTTGGGAGTGTTTGGGGTTTTAGGGGTTTTGGGGTGTTGGGTTCAGGTGTTTAGTGAATTATGATTTAGGGGGACCC